CCCAAACCATTCTCTGATTCTATGATTTTCACTAAAAAACTAATATTGGAACTTCCAACATCATTATTATTATTTTAATTTAATTTCCTGCATTACCAGCTTCAGGCAAATCACAGAGTTCATGTTTAGAACAGACCAAGTCGTGGAGATGAAAAATCTGATCTTTTTGTTGAAAATCTTACAGAATTGAAAAGGATGAGAGGAAGAAGATGGTTTAGGTGGTAACACAAGTAAAGCTGCAGAGTCAGAAAACACTTCCAAGCTCTGGCTGAGCCATGAATCTTCGTGGCCTTGGGCCAGTTGTTTCTTTCCTCTCTGCTCACCTCCCCAGCATGCTGGGAGAAGGGTTTGTTGAAGCTCCAAAGGGCACTTATGTGGGTTTCCTGCACAAACCAGTATAAAAGGAAGGCAGTGTCAGTAACTTGTGGGTAAATGCATCCTTGAAACGGGTTTTATCCCCGCAGCAATCATTGCAAAACCAAGGAGTTAGGAGTTTAAGGTTAGACTTGAAAGAAATCCAGGCAGAAAATAAGAGATGGAGCCAGGCAGCTTCAGTTTTGCCTTAAAGTGATGCTGTGAAATAGCTGCTGAAGGTGCTGAAGTGATGAAACTGGATTTATCAGGCAGAGCTACAGATGTTTTCACTTTTCTTTCCTCCTGGCATCGTTTCAGGGCAGGGTTAAGGCTCTTTGTTCACCTTCACTTCTTACCTTGGCAGAGTGGATCAAGGCTCTGAATTTCCTGGGTTGGATTTTTTTTTTTGGTGTATGGATAAATAATAAGATCTGTGCAAAAAGCTTTTAGACTTTTTGGGCTGTAGATGCATCTTTTCTGTCTTTCTGCACTGTGTTGATAGAAAAAAAATATCAATTTAAGTCATCTAAGGATGGTGAAGAGATGCAGCTAGTGGCATCCTGGGGCTGCTCAGTGACACCTTTTCCATCAGGTATTATTTAAAAAGGCTGATTCACACCTGTGACAACAGGAAATCCTGCACTTGACTCACTCTCACTCTTTCTAAGGCTTAGTGGACCTGGTGTTCCTGCAGGTAGAGAGGAAGATGGTTTCTTAGTCTATTGTTTCTCCTGTTCTCAGTGCAAATTGATTAATTAATTAAAATGAGGCAGCCAGGTTCCCTTTTTAGGTGCTCCTGAGTCATTCCAGCGTATGGTTTTATTCACAACCTCAGTGTTTTTCCTAAAAATCATTTAGGAAAGACTATAGACACTTCCTAAAAGCTGAAGAAGGTCAGTTTGCTCCTTAAATGCCACTTGGAAGCATCTTGAGTTTCTTCTCAGATTGAACAGAGCCCACAGCAAAGGTGGGAGCTGGAGCCAGGGCGGCAGCGTCCCGACACGAACTGCAGAGCCTGGAGCTGATGAGAGTTAACCTGGAACCCAAATTATCTACAGGAAAAAGGAAAGAACAAGAAAAAACAATAATAAATCAATGAGTGGAGTGGGATAGAGACACAGGGTGGTTGTACTGGGAGAGGAAC